GCTAATCTTAACTTTTCAAAATTTTTATAAATAAGCCCCATGTAATTTTTTATGTAGCCTCTTTTAATTTCGGGCTGGATGGCTCAAAACTCAGATCGGAATTTTGTCATATGACAACAATGGAGGAAAAGTGATGATCGTGTGAGAGGAAAAAAGATAATCCATTATTGTTAGATGACAATTGAGTCTTTATTAGATTTTTATCAATTGAGTTTATAATGTAGCCCAACCCACTCTTGCCTTTTAATTTTTTTTAATGGGTTGACTTGACAAATACCAAATGAGCTAGATAATTAAGCTTGACACACACTTCTCTTGCGGGCTATTTAATTGTGTTCGTCTCATTGCACAGTCCATTATCTATTTTCATTTATTATTTTTTTTTTTTGTTGATTTCGCCTCCAATAATTAATTCGGCCTCAATTCCTTGACAAAGAAAAAACTCTTACAGAGTTGAGTGCAAACATGCTCGACTCTATTTGTTTGATCGATAAGTTCGATTAGCTATTTGAGTTTGGCTTGTTTAAATATATAAGCGAGTCGAGATTGAGTTTTTCCAATTCAAACCGACATATGTTAATAGATAATTTGTTCTAGTCATGATCACCAAAACCGGTTACGGGTCCCCGGGCAGAGAGTTGGAGGACCCTAACCCGGCGAGGACATATGCACAGGCCAGTTCATTGAATTGTCGGTTCTTGGTCATCCGGTTCATTAAAAAAATAAAAATAATTAAAAAATAATATATATTTTTTTAAAAAAAGTCGAATCTCGGGTTCCGATTCCAGTTCAGAACCGAAATTGCTAGTTCAAAATGTATAAACTATAAAGTATTGTACATGAATCGAACTGGTCAAAACCACGGGCCGGTTCAAGAGCCATGGTCAACGGGCCGGTTTGTGTTGGTTCAGCCCGAACCGACAGGCTGGGCCAGCCCATGACCATGTCTACTCGGTTCCAATAATAGCTACAATAATATGCAGCCTCGGGTCAAAAAAAATTCTGACTACGCCCCTGCGTCAGAGGTTTTTCTGCCGGACCCTTCCCCGACATATTGTAGGTCATCGGAGCTCTTGACAGAAAGACGGTCGTTGTACTACCGTTTTAATCGGTCTAAAGATAATTTGCACATCTCGGATTGCTGAGCATGGTGAATTGAAGTGAACTTCCGACAACATGGGAAAAATCTCGACCGTATTCTCCAACGATCAAGACGTCTGACGGTCCGCCTTCGGTGGTCGAGCAGCGGTGAGGCATCCCGGAAGCACCAATAGATGAGCAACTCAAAAAAAAAAAAAAAAAAGGNCAAAAAAAAAAAAAAAAATGGCGGACCCCACGTACGTAAGGGATGAGAAGGAGAAAGAAATCTGCTGCCAAATTACATGTATGCCCCTCAATTAATATCAATTGGTTGGGCTTGTACTTTTGATACATGTCAAAAATCTTTAATTCTGGGCTTTGTAATTTGGTTGTAAATACATTACAATTCATATCAAATTTGTACCCATTAACTCCAAATTCATACAGGCCAAGTGTAATGTATGAATTGGAGATTTAAACTCATTCCAAAAAAATAGGATTTAGATCATATAAAAATGAAAATTTTGGTAATAGCATCAGTTTTCACCAAAAAAAAATTGTTACCAAAAAAATTTGTACTCATTCCATTATTTTCGTATCATATTTATTTTTTTACCAAAATTTAAATCATATCCTTTTTCGTAACAAATTTGGAGATTCTTATTCAAAAAATGTGTCAATTATTTATGAAAACAATTCTAAATACAAATTAATTTAAAAACCGTGCAAATTGGATGCAAATTTAGAAAGTTGTCCACATTTTTTGGTAACAAAAGCAGTTCATCATTGATATTTAAAGTCACCTTATCCAATTATTTAGGAAATATTATGTGCGACTTTTCAAAATTTAAATGCATCGATTTTTTTGGATTTTTATGTTTTTTCTTAACTATGTTTTACCGAGATTTTTGTAAGTTCATATCATTTTTTTTTTGTTAAGTTCATATGATATTCTTTAGGAAAGAGACAGTTGCATAAGCATTAACAATTTATTTTAATTTTTATTAGAATTATTTTCAATTCAATTTGTTTGGTACAAAAATCGGTGCAATGTTAGGAAAATTCGGTTGCAGTTTTAGAAAAAAAATGATGATTTTTTTATTTGGTTTAAAAAAAATCGGATCAATTTGTTTGATAAAAATATTGGTTTATTGGTAGAAAAATCGGTTTCATTTCCAGGAGTAACTAATGATTCTTATAATTTTTCTTAATTGAAATTTAGAATTATTTAAAATAAATAATGGGAGAAATCCCTAAAAAATTCTACTTTTTTTCTACTTTTATTTTGTTTAACAAATAAGATCCTTAAATTTTTTAAAATTTGTTAACTAATAACTACTAATATGCAATTTTGGATATATTCCAACACCTACGTAGCACTTTACGTGCTAAAGAATCAAATCAATAATGTTGTACATAAGGAAGTGTTTAGTAACATATAAATTTCATTTTCATGAAATTTTTAATAGCATGAGACAATTTAAATACAACAATACCTTTTAAAATATAAATTGGTAATAAATGCTCCCGTGCATCGCACGGATACCGCACTAGTAAATATAAAAATGTATGACATTTACCTGAATAGCAGTTGAAATCCCGCCCAAAAATTTCAGACTTACTAAACTAAGTAATTTTTTTATAAAAATTTCAAAAATTCCACTGAAATATATTTTGAAAATTCTAATATTCAAAGAAAACATATTTCAATTTGGTATATCAAATCAAATGTTAAATGGACGATCAATTTTTTTTTTTGGTGTATCAAATTAAATCTTAATGGACCGAAAAAGTGGAAACCAATTCTCACCATCTCAAATTTTCGGGAGAAAATTACCCCATGGACGAGCCTTATTTCTTTGATAGACATAATGATGAGAATAAGTTTGTAATGTCTTATTGATACCAACAGTTCCACTAAGACGAAATTCATTGATACCAAATAAATTAACAATTTTATATTCCACAAACCATTTTATATTTCACAAATTAAACTCTTTTTCTCTTTGGGAGAGCGGTTCTTGTTGATCCTTGCAGTGTGATTCTCCGCATTTCCTCTTCAATTTACCTTTGATTTCTCGTTTCGCTTTCAGAGATTGTCAGCTCTTGATTATCTTTCATTTGGGGAACCCTAGTTCCAATATGGGTTCCCAATCGGATATTGGGCAAGATGGAGAGATTTTGCAAAAAATGGAGAGTTTTCCATTATCCACTAAGGAAGATTCAGTGATAGATATTAGACAAGAAGATATCAAGCTAAGCGATGAAGAATGTCAGCGAAGCCTGTTCGGCAAAGTTATCGGCGACCGTAAAGCGAGCTGGATAGGAGTTAAACGAGCAATGAGCTTCATTTGGAGGCTTAGACAATCTATGGAGGTCAAGGAACTGGGACACAACTTTTTCCAATTCATTTTCCAAAGCAAAGACGATATGGCGAGAGTAGCTAAAGGTACTAATTGGAGTATTGATAACCAATTTCTGATATTATCAGCTTGGCAACCGGGCCTATCCAGCAACCACCCTTCATTCCAAGAACTCAAAATATGGGTACAAGTCTTCAATGTCCCTCTCAACTGGTTGAGTACAGAAGTAGGTTTGAAGCTGGGTCAGGTTTTTAAGGAAGTTATTAACGTGGTCGTAGTAGGTGCAGGCAGCCATGGGGGTAAAGTTCTTCGCCTCTTGGTTTCTATTGACTTAAATGAACCTCTAACTCGTTGCTCTAAAATTAGATTGGGAGAGCAGATTGTCTGCGTCAGTTTCAAATACGAGAAGCTAGTCAATTTCTGCCATTATTGCGGATTTATTGGGCATTTAGAAAGAGGCTGCGCAAAACGTATGGACGACATAAGATCAAAAAATGTGAAGGAAGGTCAGTACGGGGATTGGCTGAGAGCTCCTGACGGGCAACACTGGGCAGGTATGAGTGCATCTGACAATAAAGGTTCTCCATCTGACATTCCTCAACATCCAGAGCCACAGTCTCCATTAAAAACATCAACCAGTCAAGTGGAGGACAATAACCAGATTGTGATGGTCCAAAGTGGTTCAGCTCAGCACAATTTACCAAATGCTAGTATAGCTCACTCATTAGATGAGGATATCAGTCAACACTCTGCTGCCATTGTGAAGAAGCACTCTTTGAATCCCTCTCCTATGTCTCTCTCACGTGTTGTTCAAGACCCTTCTGAAATTGATCCGGATAAAACTATGGAAATGGTCTCTATCCGCAACAACCAACAGCAACTCAGTTTGGCGCATGAAGGCATCAAGATGCCTCAAAGAACACTTACCAGAACATGGAAAAGAGCTGTTTTCAAAGATGGTAGACTCCAGAGATAGAGTACTAGCCTTGTGATTAGAGACTCTCCTGAACCTAGGAAAAGACAAAGGTCAGACGATGAAAACCACACCAGTATGGACAAAGGTAAATCAATTGTGGTAGTTGATAGCAAGAAACAAAAATCTTCTTCGAAGGTGGGGGTGGCTAGCCTGGATTGGCACCCAAGTGACCAATGCTAGCTGCGGTGTGGAACTGTAGAGGACTGGGTGGGCCCTCTACAGTTTCCCAAATCAAAGAGTCTTGTAAGACTCACCACCCAGCTTTTTTATTCTTATCAGAAACCTAAAAACAAAGAACTTTTGTTCAATCTGTGAGTAAGAAATTGGGTTATGATGATAGATGTGCTATTGTGGATCCTGTTGGCTCTAGTGATGGACTAGCTTTATTCTGGTTATTAGAGGTGGAAGTTATTCAGCTGATTTGCAGAGATTTTTTCATAGCCATTGAATTTAAGTTGCAGAATGGGAGAAGGACTTGGGGTATCTTTGTTTACATGAACTCTGATAAGGGTCTCAGGGAGTCTCAGAGACAAATTCTTCTTCAGGAAAAGTGTCTTTGGGGAGAAGAGTGGTTTGCTATGGGGGACTGGAATGATATTTGCTCCTCAGAGGAAAAGAAAGGAGGCAGGAGGAGGAATGCTTGCAGTTTCCTTGACTTCAACAGTTTTATCTCTGGTATGGAAATGGAAAAAGTGACCATGGCTGGCTATCAATTCACTTGGGAAAACAATAGGGATGGTGAAGGGCTTGTGGAAGAGAAGCTAGACAAAGGGTTTACATCTTCAGCTTGGTTAGAGCTCAACCAAAATGCATCAGTTTTGAATGTCCTAAGAAGTGCATCTGACCATTCAATGATTCTCCTTGACTGTGGTAAGCTCAAACCAAAAATCCAGAGGAGGTTTAAATTTGATAGTAGGTGGTTGAAGAAGGAAGGTATCTCTGAAGTTATCAATCTTGCATGGGCAAAACCTCAAACTGGCACCCCATTCTTCATATTGAAAGAGAGGGTGAAGGAAACCAGAATTGCTCTCCTTTAATGGAGTTCCCAGTTCCAATCTCTAAACAAAACCAAAATTGAAGAACCCTCAGCCAGGATGGAAAACATCAGAGAAAAAGGAAGAGCTGACAATTGAGAGGAATGGAAAAGTGTCAGATTTGAGTTAGAGGCTGCTCACAGACAAGAAGAGCAATTTTGGAAGCAAAGGGCCAAGATTCAATGGTGGAAGGAGGGCAATGCTAATACCAAATTCTTTCATGCTTATGTTAGGCTCAGAAGAAAGCAGAACTTCATATCCAGATTGCTCACTGAGAACAACCAGCCAATTGCAGACCAGGCTGATATTCAGAGCCAAGTTTCAGACTACTTTGCTTCTTTGTTCAGCTCAGAAGGCTCTTGAGGGGTGACTCTCTAATCCATCTGGTCCCTCAAACTATCTGAAGATATGAACCAGCTTTTATTAAAACCGGTTGGTGAGGAGGAAATTCATGCTGCCCTTTTGAGTCTCCTTGCTGAGAAATCCCCTGGTGAACAAGGTATGAATGCCTCTTTCTATCAACACTTTTAGGAAATCATAAAACCTGAGTTGATTGCTGTTATTCAAAGATTTTTTGATTCTGGAACTCTTCTGAAATACTGGAACCATACTCTTGTAACTTTAATTCCTAAGTGCAAAAATCCTGATTTTCTCAGTCAATATCGACCCATAAGCCTATCTTCTGTGGTCTACAAAACCATATCAAAGATTCTAGCTCTCAGATTAAAGTCCTACCTTGATTGCTGCATTAGTCCTAGTCAGTCTGCCTTCTTGCAGGGTAGGCAACTCATGGACAATGTGATCATTGCCCATGAAGCCTATCATTTTCTTAGTAGGCATAGAAATGGAAAAAACTGTTTTATGGCTCTCAAGTTAGATTTGATGAAGGCTTTTGACCTGGTTGAGTGGGGCAGTTTGCACAAAATAATGGTGAAAATGGGTTTTAAGCTGCAGTTTATCAAGCTCATCATCACATGCCTCTCATCTGCCACCTTTGCCTTTAATGTCAATGGTACTACTGGTGGTTTTGTTAGTCCTACCAGAGGAATTTGCCAGGGAGATCCCCTCTCTCCCTTTTTATTTCTCATAATTGCTGAAATGCTCTCTGCTATGGTCAAAGAAGCTGTAGATAATGGTGCTTTGACTGGTTTGAGACTCTCAAGAGAAGGCCCCACCCTTTCACACTTATTGTTTGCAGATGATGCATTATTTTTCTGTAAAGCAGGGGTGGATAAATCTCTAGTTCTCACTACAATTCTGGAAATTTACAGGCTCTTTACTGGCCAAAAAGTCCATTGGGAAAAATCTTCTATCATTTTCAGTAAAAACACTCCACTGCCTTTGCAACACAGCATTTGCCACAGCTTGCAAGGTATAAAGCTTCACCATTCATGCAGATATCTTGGTCTTCCTTTGGGGATTGGGAAGTCCAAAAAGGAGGCTTTTACCTATGTTTTGGATGCAGTCAGAGCCAAATTAACTAGCTGAAAAAATAAACTGTTGGCTGCTACTGGAAAAGAAGTGCTCATTAAAGCAGTATTAAGTGCCCTGCCAATCTTCACAATGACTTGCTTCAAAATTCCTATATCAGTGGCCAGTGAGATCTCAAGGTTGTGTGCACAATTTTGGTGGAGTAGGGGAGAACAACAAGATAGGGGTCTGCATTAGAAATCTTGGGCTTCATTAACAATCCCAAAGAATGAAGGTGGATTGGGTTTTTTGGATGTGCTACTATTTAACAAGTCCCTGATTTGCAAACAACTTTGGAGAATTACCTCTCAACCTGACTTACTTGTGAGTCAAATCCTTAAAGGTAGGTACTTTCCTACTACTTCTGTCTTTGAGGCAAACAAATCCCAACATAGCTCTTGGCTGTGAAATAGTTGGCTGACAGTTCTACCAGAATTTGCTAAAGGGTACAGAACTGAGGTGAGAAATGGGGCAACCACAAAAATTGAAGAAGCTAACTGGGTGCCAAATTTGGGAAAGCTGAGACCTGAGATGCTGCCAATTGCAAGAGGTCATCTTGTTTGGGTGAAAGAGCTCTTTGATAACAGTGGAACTGGTTGGAATGAATGGTTGGTGCAGCAATTATTTGGGGGAGATGATAGCACAGCCATTTTGAAAATCAACACTCTAAACCCAGACAGACCTGACAGAAAGATTTGGAGCCTTCACAGCAAAAGAAAGTTCACTGTCTCATCCATCTACTCTCAGCTGATTCTAAGGAAGGTTCAAAGCTTAGATATTCCAAAGGGCAGTTCAAATTCCAAGGCCATCAAAGCAGTGAGAACTAATACTTGGAAGCTGAAAATCAATTCAAAAATCAAACATATGCTCTGGAAATGCAGCTCTAGGGCACTCCTGTCAAAATTGCCCTGAAAACTAGAGGCTTGGACATTGATGTTATGTGTCAATCTTGTGGAGATGAGCCTGAGACAGTAGAACATGTTTTCTTTCACTGCACTAAAGCCAGAAGACTATGGAATATAAACCCTATCCAATGGGATGAACTTCAAGACCCTGGCATTACCTTCTGTTCTTGGTGGAGACACATTAGCTGCAGTGGTAAAGATGAAGTTGCTGAAGCCAGAATCCAGCTCACCACTTACATGTTGTGGTGGCTCTGGCGATCGAGGAATCTATGGTTGTTTGAGGGCATCTACCTGCCAACTCATTTTGTACTTAAAAAATGCAATTAGAGAATGGCAGGACTTTTGTTCTTTGTAGTTTGCTTAACATTTCTTTCCTTCTTTTTTCTCATTTTTCTCTTCTCTTTTCTGTTGGACAGGGATTTAGAACTAGGCATTTGCAGTGGTTTTATATCCTTTGTTTTGATTAGTATCCTGTTTGTAGTTTGATTTGTGTTTAGTCCCTGATGGGCGTCTAGGCCGCTTGCATGCGAGTCCTCCCAGCTTTTATTTCGATCTAGTTTGTCTTTGTATTCGAACTTGGTTCGCTTTGAGTTAAATATATCTTCTCTATCGTTNTTTTTCTCCCTTATCTCTTCACCATTTCCTTTTCTTCTTCCTTTCCGATTTTTTGGCATCACACAAAGATACACAGACCACCAAAAATAAAATTTCAAACCGAATTCTTTTAATTTTTGATTCGCGAACGACAAACCTCGTCTCGTGCAATCAATTGACGAATTATGGCGGCGGCGACTTGGATATGGAGATCGACAACACAGGATGACGGAAGGTTTCATCATCCAGCCCTAGATAATGAGGTGGCGATTGGAGCCGCTAACCTCCTCTCGCCGCTTGCACCATCCGCCGCCTCGAGGTGCGGGTTTTGATTTAGGTTTAGCAAATATTAAATTCCTTTTTTGGTTGGGGAGGTTTCGATCTTAAAATTATGAGTTGCTGGATTTAATATCTGAAAAATTGAAAATGGAATTTTAGGGGCACTTTAAGATAATTTATGAATTTAATAGTTGGATCAATCCTAAACTCTTTTTTTAACTATACTTTTATTTTTCAGATTTAATAGTTTAACTGCAAAAAATTCCAGTGGGACCTTCGTTCACCTTCGGCAGCGGCACCTTTGCATTTGACGGCGGATGAGTGTGCGTGCGACGAAAGAGGCGCGTGGAATTGGATTCGCCGCCATGGTGTGTTCAAGTTAATTTGAAAGTTCTTTGAGAGCAGTTTGTGTTAATATGATGTTTATCTTGAGTTGATTTTGTTAATTTATTTTTAAAAAAGTTATTTGAATGTATTTTGCAGAGGTTAATTAGATGTTTATTGATTATATGTTTTTGTCTCATCTATGTTTATATTCCGTTTATTTTTTGTATTTGATGTTTATTGATTTTTTTAGTTATTGATTGTATTTTTTGTCTCATCTATGGTTTATATTCAGTTTTTTTATTCATTTTTTTGTCTATTTATTTTTTATTAATTAGTAAAAAATTAAATAATAAACATAAGATAAATTGAAAATTAATTTTAATAAAGTATA